GTCTTGTTAATGCAAGGATCTTTTCGACAAAAAAAAAAAAAAAATTAACCATAATCGTCACATATATAATGGAGAAGCAAAGTAAAAAAACATAAAAATTCAATTCCCAAAAACAACAATTTAAACAATATAAATGGAATATCCGAAAAGATACATAAAACGATAGAGACACGTACGACCAAACCCCCTCCAACAATCCTCTAGTTATGAGATCTTTGGATTGCAAAAATCACAATCTCCATATGAAAATAAAAAAACGACCTCAATAAATTGTCTATAGATTCAAAAGGTGTACAATAATTGTATAACGGAAATTTACTGTCAACATATAGATGCGCCACGCTGAGACATAATTCAAGATCACAAGCAAAAAGTACATTATTATATAGCAATACATAGATGAAATTGGTCATCAAAATAAAGATAACGATTTGACATTTTGGACAGGACACTTTAATCAAATAATATGATAGGTATTACTTTTTATACTCTAAGCTTTTTAGTTTTTTTCTTTGTCGATCATAGCGAGTAGCAGCAGTACTTTTTACATGTGATGCCTGATAGCTTTCCTCGTGTACTTGTTTTCCCATCTTTTCCTCTATTTCTTTTTCCTTTTCTCCTCCTAGTAGCTCCAATCCTTATCCATTAACTTTACTTTTTTTTTAATAAATTATTTTATCATTATGAAATAAAGAGCTACCTCTCTACACAATAAGTGCAGAACATGCACACTTGTCGACCACGCAAAACCTACAATTCATACAGATCTACATCTATTTTTCGATCCATCAATATTCAGTATAATGTCAAAGTCAAACTGAAAAAAGCATAAATAAAATTATTTTACAACACATATACTATTAATATAACCACAAACTCACTCATTATTCAACTTCCACAACACGAACACAAAACACTATATATCTTACCAAATTGGATATCAAGACCACTCAGTACATCCCATGTAAAAGAATGGAGAGCAATATAGAAAGCGCAAAGATAATACATGGAATATAAATGGCCAAAACCCTGAATCAACAGGTTTGGCATCCAGCACAACAACAACCACATCGCTCGTAGTGATCAAGGAAGCCGAATGAAATGCAACCTGTGGAATCATACACTGAAACAGATTCAATACTATGTTAAAAAAAAATCCACACGAATTAGACTATTATATATATATATATATATATATATATATATATATATATATATATATATGTCATATATACCATATATATATGTGTGTGTTTTCAATTAGTCACCGAAGATCCATATTGAGGTTACAGCCTGACTTTGAGAACGTCTGTGCCACTCTTCTCAACAAAGAAGATATTCAACTAGAGCATGTCTTGGGAGCTCTAGTTCGGGAGGAAACTAGGTTGCACACCCAAGCTGCTATTGATGCGCGACTGGAAACTGAGACGAACAATTTTTGTTGCTGCCATTCCAAATACTATCCGACCAAAAGTCTAAATCATTTCTCTGCAATCCATGTGATGTGATGAGGTAGAACAATGACAAATAAGGGCCTGTTTACTTTCATTTCTGTTTCCTGTTTTTGAGAAAACAGATGTTGAAAACAGGTGAAAACAACATTTTTTCGTTTCCAAAAACAGCAGGAAGTTGTCACTTTCTGTTTTCATAGTTGGAAACGAATAGAAAACGGAATGAAAAGTAAACAAGTTTTCTCATTTCGGTTGCCAAATTTATGACATGAAAACAGAAAACAGGAAACGAAAATGAAAGTGAACAGGGCCTAAGTAATTTCAGTCCAGGCCTTGGTTCATTGATAGTATCATTGGTCTTAAATTTGGAAGTGACATGCTCGAATCTTTTAAATAATTTATAGTATTATTATTTAAAAAAAGTAATTTGAATTAGAATCAAATTAATATATAGTTTTTACTCAAGTAAAATTAAGTAACATATATCAGCATTATCTAAAAAAAAGGTAATATGAGTTAGAATAAACTTAATATATGGATTTTAATTCAAGTAGAATTGTTTAAAGCTATGACATTGATATCTCAACACTAGTATAAAGAAGTTATCCATTATAACATGTTTAATTGTAAATTTCCAGCTTTCTGAGTGATTTTGGGAAGGATGTTTTGTCTTTTTAATAACTCTATTTAATTCTAAGTATAATAACTAAATATTACTATTGGTAAAAATAATTCGTAAAAAAAACTTTGTTTCTGATTCCTAATTTCTTATTAGATATTTGGCATTACCAACGGATACAAAATAAAATTATATCCAACCCATCTATGATGATTCATAAGTTGGCTGAGAGATAAGAGTGAGAAGATTTATGAATGTAACTAGATTTGGGCCCCCCATTGGGTGGATACATTTCGTTAATAATACATAATCGACAATGGTAATTGTGTGAAGTAAGATACATTTTTATTTTATATTTAAAAAAATATCTAAATCATTTAATGACTTCAAAATTTAAAACTACATTATATAGGTTTCGAACATTCTAAGCGATTCATTTATAAAAAGTTAAAAAAATTATGTAATGAAGTCGACTCTTAGAAAAATTTACAAAACTCCAATTTGATTTACCTCTTTTTGTCAGAAATACTATAAATTTTATTTGTACGTCTTTCAATTACTTTTCCATCAACATCAAATTGAAGTAAATTTGAAATGTTTGTTTTTGTACAAAGTATAGTAACCTTGACCTAAAAGAAATCTTCTTCAGTTTCACTTCTTGTCAATCTCATTATATATTTTATGACATTACTTGTAAGTTGGTATGATCGAAATATCATCACCTGATTGGATCGATGTGTTTGATTGAAATTTAATAATTAGTTTGTTTGAATTGACCTATAATCTACGAAGTTCTCAAAAGTCCAAACCCTTTGAACTTGAATTAGAGGGTGAAAGAATTAATTTGCCATTTGGGAATCATACCCAAATATCATTACTCGAGAAGAAAGTAATCATACTCATAATGTTTTAAAATTTGAATTGTACAATAAAATTCCACATACCACTTGGCTATGTGAATAAGAACTCAAATCCTTATTGTTTGTTACTTTTGAAAATGTTCAAGATGTTCTTTGTGGGTTGTTTATTGCGTTAGATTACTTTTATTGTTGTGGAATTACTTTCAATTTGGATGTTTAAATCTAAAATGATTTATTAACATATATAATAAGATAAGTAATCTCTTAGGATTTTTACTCTGATCATAGTACAAATGACAAAATATTAATTGCATTAAACCTAAAATTGCATCGTGTTTAGTTAGTTATAGTTTTTGTCTTGCCCTGCCAAGCTAAATTCGATATACAAAGTCATTTCTTGACCTTAAGATATCAAATAAATTAATAGGATTACTTAATTGATAAATAAAATTGTCACCTCGAGATACTAACATATTAGTCAATAATTCCTACCACTGTTATACTTTCGTACTCTTTGCCTTAAGATATCAAATAAATTAATAGAAGTACTTAATTGATAAATAAAATTGTCACCCCAAGATACTAACCTATTACTCAATAATTCCTACCACTGTTATACTTCCGTTTTAAGGTTGATTAGGTTCATATAAAATAATCACTATTAATCATCCCAAATTATGTATAGGAAAAATGGGTTAATTGCATGGTTGGTCACTGAGATTACAAAAAACGTTCAAGTTTGGTCACTTGAAATATTTAAATCCATTGGTGGTATTTTAGTTTATTAAAACCGTTCATGTTTGGTCACTCTCCGTCCAACTCCGTTAACTTTTGCTTATGTGGCGGTCAACTCTAAAAGTTGATCGTTAAATGTGTGACATGACAATTTAAAATTAATAAAATTAATTTTTTTAAAATTACCATCTCGTTTCCACCTCATTATCACTTTTATTTAAAATAAATAAAAAAACCTAATTTCTTTCTCATTTCCACCTCATCTTTGCAATAATTGATCATGTTAGCCACTGATTCTATCAATTCGGGCAAATCAACCAAAGAGGAAAGCTGAGGAGTTGCAATTCGTTCCCCATCGGGAGCTCCTTCGCCGTGGCTCAAGATAGGGTGCATACCCTTCATTTAGAAAATCCAGATCTAAGGATGGAGAATTAAAGACTATTTTTATTTTCACTAGCTTTATTAATTGACTCATATCTTTTTCGTTTTAACTCGGATTTTAATTTTTTTTGCACAGATGGAACGAGTTCACCGTGCTCTACAAAATGAGATCAATTTTCAATATTTTTTTAGGAAAAAAAAAATTCTGGCCTCTCGGTACCAACTGCATACCATATGGTATCTTCTTCGTTTTTAATTCGTTTTGAAAACGTTTGCACAGCAGGGATGAGTTCATCATGATCTACTGGATCTACAAATTTCTGGGTGAACAAATTACAGGACCAAAAAATACCACACAATACCATGCAATACCACCCTGGTACGGGGTGGTATTGTATGGTATCTTCTTCGTTTTTAATTCGTTTTTGAAAACGTTTGCACAGAAGGGACGAGTTCATCATGATCTATTGGATCTACGAATTTCTGGGTGAAAAAATTACAGGACCAAAAAATACCACACAATACCATACAATATCACCCTGGTACGGGGTGGTATTGTGTGGTATACAATGTTAAAAGTCGTAAATTACAATTAATATACTTCTACTATCATGTATTCAACCATCCTACAGTATTGGTTTGTTCATACCACCATGGTACGTTTTTCAAAACATAGGTATGCTTTTATTTCAATACTAGTCAATACCATATGGTATAGGCTGGTAAAAAATGGGTTAATTTTTTTTGTTCGAAAAATATATTAAAGTGGATATCATTTTGAAGAGCACAATTAATCTGATCTAACTGTGCAAAAAAAATTAAATTTCGACTTAAAATGAGCGAGAAATCGTCCGTCAAAGATTAAAAAGGGAAAAATTAAAGGTTTTCCATGAGAGAGAGGATGCTGATGTCATGCTGATGTGGACGGGTTACTCATGGTTAGTCACCATAAGGTTACTGACCTGATCCATTCCCCTTCGCCGTGACCTCGGGGAGCTTTGAGAGCTCCGCGGCGGAGAGGCCCTTCTTGGCCGGCGGCTTCAGATCGTCGGGGCTGCTGGCGGCCGAATTGGGCGGGGGATTGGAGGCGAACCAGAGGAGGCAAATGTAGACGAAGAACAGAGCGCTCATCCCGGCGCAGGGGAGGAACAGGGCGAGGAGTACGGAGAGCAGCATCCCTCCGGTGTGGTTAGCGGCGACGGAGGAGGGAGAAGAGGGGTTTAATATTGAGGGAGAGGGTGCGTATAGCGCACCACGGCGCATTGAAGAGAGGGGGTTTCTTTTTTTCAGGGGAGGAAAGGAAAGGGAAAAGGAAGGGGGCGAGAAGGAGGAGGTGGTTGTGATGTTGGTGATGGAAAGCTGACGTGGCTTCCGAGTTTGGGGCCGCTCTTTGATGTTTTTATATTTTGTTTTGGTGAAATTAATTTTTCTATGGGAAAGCCTCCTCTCCGCTTCCTCTAATATGCAACTCCTCAGCTTTCCTCTTTGACTAATTTGCCTGAATTGATAGAATCAGTGGCTAAGATGATCAATTATTGCAAAGATTAGGTGGGAATTAGAAGAAATTAGGTTTTTTTTATTTTTTTTAAATAAAAGTGATAATGAGGTGGAAATGAGAAGAAAATTTTAAAAAATTGAATTTTATTATTTTTATTATTTTTAAATTGTCACGTCACACATTTAACGGTCAACTTTTAGAGTTGACCGCCACATAAGCAAAAGTTAATGGAGTTGGACGGAGAGTGACCAAACGTGAACGGTTTCAATAAACTAAAGTACCACCAATAGATTTAAATATTTCGAGTGACCAAACTTGAATGTTTTCTCTAATCTCAGTGACCAACCATGCAATTAACCCTAGGAAAAATTAATGAGGTTATGAGGAAAAAAATGGGATGGATAGATAAAGTAGGGAACTTGGATATTTTTTAGAGTCAAGATAATTAGTTAATTATTAATAATATGTTGACGAAAATATCCCTACTAAAATTACTTAGAAAGCTGGAAATTTTGGAATTAAAAATATCCTAGGATGGTGAACCTCCATAAATAAGTGATAGGATTATCAATGGTTTTCTAATTAATTATTAATTATTTGTGAAGTCATTTTCTCCGTATTGGTTGTTTTCTTAGACCAATGATATTTAGATCACTATTCCCATATATAAGTTCAAGTTTTGAAACCAGTAACCAACATACTTTATTTCTTATGTTTCTTTTGGCCAACGATAAGGAATTATGAGATTATACTACCTCAATCCTAGGTTTTTTATATGTCAATAGCATCAACTCATTTCCTTTTTTAACATCTTTCGATTTCATTGGTTCCGATAAAATCATGGCGAGAGAATTATATTATTTTGAAGATTATTCTGATAAAAAAATCTTCGTTGCTGACATATTATTTCGTTATGCTACACATGCTTCGGTATTATTTTGATTTATTGAATTAATTCATACTATTATTGACTATTGTGTAAATGTGTAATGTGTCTATATTCTATGTTTCGGAGAAATATTCCACATGAAGAATCATCTAATTGGCAAAATAATGTTCCAGCTTGATCTTCAAACAACCAAGAAAGAGATGAGGCTTTGGTGCATAATCTCCTCCAAAGATAACTGGCACAATTATCAAGGACTACAACTAATAGATTTCAATCTCCCATCAAATTAAAGGAATATATCTTTGTTTGAACTTTTCATTTAAAAATTTTGGGTGAAAAAATAATATTTATTAAAAATTATGTCAAAGAAAACTTCAAGAAGACTACGACAATGAGTACTTCTACAATAATTATACAACAACATCAAAGACAATAGTAGCTTTGTAAGAATCTACCTCTGTTATTTCATTCTGCGGAACTTTTTTTTGTTATGGTTCATTCCTTTGAACTTAAATTTCATTCATCCGAGAGAAAAATCATACCCACTAAAACTATTTTGACTAAATAGTGTATATCAATAACTGCCATTTTATAGATCCAGGATCAAGCTACGAGTTTGGAAAAAAATTGTTGAATCTGACTTTATTGTTCTGAATCGCGAGGGAGTTAGGTTTTTTAAATGCATATTGAGAAACTAATCGAAGATCATGACATAATGAGAAAACCGTCACCTCCTCATCTCCTACAAATAGAGGAAATGGGGATCAGTTAGCGTGACTACCCCTAAAGGGGTAGTGATTTTTGACACCCCCTTTATGATTGGCCAATTTTATTTCCAATCATTGGCAAATATTAATTAAACTGATTTTTTATTTTTTTAATCTTGTAATTTGGGGTCTCTCACCACATTGGAAAAGAGAAAGAATCTGGGGAAAAACGAAATCACCCCCATTAATTACATAATTAATTTCTCTCACTGGTACATTAATTACACGTACCACTCCACTGGTACACGTACCACTCCACTGGTACACGTACCACTCCAATGGTACACGTACCACTCCACTGGTGCGAGCAATCCACAAGGTAGGTTAGAGTGAGAACAATACCAGTGCAATGATATTTTTCATAACAATGATAAACAATAATAGGGAAAAAATAGGAACTTTCCATTAGTAGCCAAAAACTGTGTTCCAAAATGGGTTGCAAAATTAGGGAAATGCCAACAACAATGCCAAAAGCAATAAATTATCCTTCGAATGTGAATAAACATAAAGTCTTCACAATTTTTTAAGCCTAAACAGGACATATGGTTACACGTACCACTCCACTGGTACACGTACCACTCCACTGGTACATGTACCAGTGGAGTGGTACGTGTACCCGTGGAGTGGTACGTGTACCAGTGGAGTGGTACGTGTACCAGTGGAGTGGTACGTGTACCAGTGGAGTGGTACGTGTACCAGTGGAGTGGTACGTGTACCAGTGGAGTGGTACGTGTAATTAATGTACCAGTGAGAGAAATTAATTATGTAATTAATGGGGGTGATTTCGTTTTTCCCCAGATCCTTCCCCATTCATAATTACCAACGTTTTTCTCCTTCCCCATTCATAATTATTATCACAATTAAGGCTTTCCCAATTTACAAGATTACAATAAATAAAGTAAAAAGCTTAAATGGAAAAGTGACCAATCAAGAGGAGGGTGTCAAAAACCACTACCCCTTTAGGGGTTAGCATAGTATCCGACCCCGAGGAAATGGAGTTGAATGTTTGCACTAAGCTCATCGAGTACAACATCGTGAACCTATAAGTGAGTACACCGTATTGAAGATAAGGAAGGATGAGGAAGAGTAATTTTAGATGAAGCTGATGACATGGACGATGTAAATATAACTTCTCAAAAATAACGTTTCACAGTTACAAAAAATTTACCACTTAATTTTTTCTTTTAGTGCAATACCAAAGAAGAAGAAGAATGACGGAGGTAGTGGCTTCAGTGATGAGGATAATGACATCGTTGAGAAGAAGAAAGAGATTATTGAAGGTGGTTATAAAAAAATTCAATGACTAGAGGAAAAAGCGAAGCTTTGACAATATTTATCACTTGAGGTAATTTTAGGGGTCGTTTGGTTTTGGTGATAGTTACATCGGTCTATTGTCATCAATGCATACATAATAATATACATGTATATAAGAAAATTGGTGTATTGTAGTTTGCATCGTTTGGTTTCTGTGATAGTTATTGTAATATTTAAATAAATTATATTACTTTTTTGGGTGAAATGTCACTTTTACCCTTTGTTTTTAATATAAAAAGCAACACACATAAAAGGTAGGGGCATATTTGGAAGAAGAAGAAAAGACAACAATCTCTATCAAACAATCTCAACGAAAATTTGAGATTGAGGTCGTTTGGTATTTGCGATGGTTAGAATTGATGTATTGTATGAATACTTGCATTGTAAATTGATGTATTGTCTAAATGCATGTATTATAAGATTACATTGTTTGTTAGTTGTGATTGGAATTTTAGGAATAAAATGAGAAAGTTACTTTTTAAGTGAAAGGTCATGTTTACCCTTTCTTTTACATAGAAGAGTAATAATGCATAAAAGTTGATAGGGATATAAAGGGAAAGACAATAGAAGAACAATCTCAAAACACAATCTCAACAATCTCACCAAATTGTTGAGATTGTAAATCATTCATATTGAATGATTTCAAGTGTCACATCATCAGTGGCGGAGCCAGGAAATTGATCAAGGGGGTGCTTTTTTCATACCATTAAAAAATCGACTACATAAAACAAAAGTCAATTCTAATAAGTCATCAACTTAATACTCAAGATTTATACAATTACATAACAACTTACTCCATTTACAATGAATAACGAAGACATTTTATATTTTGAAACATTGTATAACACATTCCTTGTCCAAACCAACACAAAACTTTGTTTAATATATGCCACCAACGCATCGTTCATCCAGTTTCGAAGATCATTTTTTATATATTTCATGGATATAAACGATCTCTCCATATTGATATGACAACAGGTAGAATAAGTGTCAACTTGACAAGCAAATAAATATACGAATATAATTTCTGATTTTTTGTTTCTACTATTTTTTGGCTAACTCATAAACTCATAGTGAGTTTTTGAAGTTGTTGTCAAATGATAAATAGAAAAAATATATATAATTCTTTTTTTTTACAAGAAAAAATATATATAATTCAACTTACTAAAATTTTCATAAGATTTGAAAGGACTTGTTGGGATGATATTTGTAAATTGATGATGTTTGTCATCATTAGATGTTATTGTGTGAGATGTATTTGAAAAAAGTAATGTTTAGTTCAGTATGTTTATATCAAAAGTTTTATCATAGAAGTGAAGTGACAAAGTTTATGGGCGAATAACTTTTATGCAGTGAGTTAACACATACTTTGTATATATTGGCAAGCAATTAAGAATGCATTATTTTGATGCAACGAAAGAGACATACAATGAATAAGAGTGTTTCTAATCTCCCACCAGCCTACCAATCCTTTCTTTCGATAATTTTTTGCCCCTCCTCCAAGGCCAAGGGGGCTGCAGACACCCCCCACCTTGATGAGTGGCTCCGCCACTGCACATCATCAATCAAATGCATGCATTGTTTTTCATTTTGACACAAACAAACGATGCATTCTATACAATACATGCATTCATTAAATGCATCGTTTATATACGCATATACCAAACGACCCCTTAACTATCACTAATTCTGAGTGATATCTGTGTCA